CAGCTGATCGAATGAAACAAAACAGTATCTTCGTATATCTTTTCTATTATTAATTAAATAATTCTGTATCCTTAAAAACTTCTTCTCATTTTTACTTTAATTAATAATTTAAAAAAAGAAACGTCCGCGTATGCGTCCCTGAAGGAGAACAAGAAGCAAAACGCGAACGAGAAATGTCATTCTCTCACGAAAACATTGCTGTACGATCCGTTTCGAAATTAATCCATTTGTATATAATATGTATAATATATGTATATAATATATATAACATATATGTATAATATATATATAAATATAATATGTAAAATATATATATATATATATATGTGTGTATAATATATATAATATAATATGTACAATATATATATATTTATAATATATATAAAATATATATATATATGTATGTATAATATATATAATATAATATATACAATATACATATATATAATATATATAAAATATATGTATAATATATATATATAATATAATATATACAATATATATATATATAATACATAATATATATAATATAATATATATAATATATATATCATATATATAATATAATATGTACAATATATATATATATATATATATATATAATAAAATATTATAATATAAAATAATAATAAAAAAATATGTACAATATATACATATATGATAAACTCACCTCTCTCGATCGCACGAGTCCGTGAGCAGCTCGCTGGCGCTCCTGCTTCGAGCCTCCTCGGGACGTCCTGCGGGATGTCTGTCGGTGATCTCCTCCCTCGGCACCCGGACGAGCTCAGCTTCTCGCTCCGCGTTCGTGACCAGCCGAACGTCGGCCGCGCCCCGACTCTCGCGACGGAAGATCTTCCTGAGGCCTCGAAGCGGGTGGAAGCGGCGCTTCTTGGGCTCTGTCCGAAAAAAAAAAAAGAAAAAAATGAAACGAAACGAAACGAAACGATCGAAATCAAAGATCTCGCGCGAAGAACTTTCTCCCGAACGATTGCGCAACGAACGAGATATTGTCGCTGATGTTTTCGAGCCGTGGCCGCCTGTGGTATCGATGGGAAGTGAAAACTCTGGAAGAGCGATCGAGAGAAACGAAACGGAATACCCTCGTCCAAGTTTTCTCTCGATTAGAAACGGCTCGCTCTTCCGTTTCGTTCTATTTTCTTCTTGGATGAAATTGCGATCTCGTATCGAACGATAAATAAATATCGTGTAATTTTTGATAAATACGAGCAGGAGAAAAGACGGGACACGTTTTCACAGATAACACGTCCGATTAAAGAGGTTAAAAGTAAAGAGATTATTAAGGGGAAAAAAAATGTTTGCGCGGCTGGTAAGGATTATCGATCGAGAATCTGATAATCCTCCGCTTGTATTTTTACTTAAAATCTATTTTTTAGGAACGCAGCGTGAAAAGGGAATTCTTGAGCGTCCTGAAAATTAATTTCGGAATTTGACGAAATTCGATGCGTCGATCCCTTCCACGTTTCGTCCGCGATGGCCCATTTCCACGAATACCACCTTTCGTCCCACCCTTTTCGTCCGTTTTCCACGTGCGTACTTTTATCTTATCGATTCGTATATGATTCCATCGAACGAAGCTGGTCGAAAGCTCGAGCGAGCGCAACCCTCCTCTTGGGAATGGAAAACGAGAGGGGGAGAGGAGAAGAATGGCAGGTTATCGGGAGGCGACACCGAGCTTGCTGGATAAGCAAATAACACGAGTCCTCGAGAAGGTTGCGTGGCACTCGTTAACGCACGGATGCCTTTTAATTGCGGCGTATCGGAAGAGGGAAAAAAGGGTGGCGACAAAGAGGTGACGTCGCCAAGGTGAAAGGGGAACAAAGGGCATCACACTTTGAATCGTCGAAAAGGCAGGGAGAATGGGAGCAGAAGTGGAGGGTAGCGGCGAAACCCTCGGTCGCGATTAAAACCGCCTATCCCGTGTTTCTCCTCTCGAGACCGAGCCTCCATCGCTTCGTTTCGGCGGTTGGGATAGTTGCTCTCCGACCGATCCACTCCCGACACCCCACGTTCCGTCGACGAACTTACGTGATTCCGTTTCGTGCTCGAAAACCCTTCCTTGTAATCCTATCCTTTGTAACGAGCGAATTCGCGCACACCACGAACGATTTTCGAGGAGATCGATCGAAATATTTCTATCCGATCGTATGTACCGTATGACGCGACGCGATTGAAACGAAGGAAATGGTGTAGGATGGTATCTACGTTACCAAACAGGTCCAAAAGATCCTCATAATATTGCATCCGGATTTTTCGTATCACGAAATTTACGTTTCATAAGTGGCGTATGCACGGTATGCACTTAACTGGCTCGAAGATTTGATAATACGGGACACGATCGATAAGATTAGCGATAACTCTATCAGTTGATATTCCTTATATGGTCGAAATTAACTATATAACAACGATATAATTTTTTTTTTTTTTACATCCGTATTGAACGGTACCGAAAGATACTTCACGCTTATCTTCAATTCGTAGAGTTATGTTCCAACGTTATCAGCTACGCGACTAAAATCGGCTTACCGTGTCGAACGCCAATACTCGGTCGGCAATTTCACTCGGTCGATTATTGCTCCGAGTTGTCGCCTCTTTTTCCACTCTTCGCTTTCACGCGGCTAATCGTTTTAATTTATCTGCAAACGAAAGTCTCTCCCGACTTAGCGAATAGTTTCGGAGCAATTGGAAATAATCCTATAATTCCTGATGGAGCACCGTGAAAAGTAACGCTATACGCGGCGTTCGAACGGCCATTCATTTCGCGATTGACCATGGCCTAGTTTCCCGACTCTTTCTGTAAATAACCGTGTATGCGTGTTCTTACACAATACACCGACTGGGGTAACCCCGCCTTTCTTCGCCGAATTTCCGTTCGACTCGAATATGTCTCAATATTACAATGCTCATGGACAGTCGTGGAATAGAAAATGATATTATCCGTTGTGTTTTATTTTTCTAAGCTAATCGATGCGCGTTCTCGCGCTTTCTGGCAAAGTCTACGTCGAGTCTTCTTCGAAACACGGTCGATCGCAAAAAAATGTTTCGCGTGTACTTGACACTCTGGCGCGAGTGTGCTTTTCACGCATCAGTTCACGCGACATCGCTCAACCGTGAAAAATAACGTCACGCGCCAATCGTTCGACGTCGATCTCTCCGTCGGTGGGCAACAAAAAACAGCTGTTTCCACTGTTGGCGAGGAGACCGACTCTCGATTCCCTCCGTCCCCCCAACCCTCAACGGACGTTTACATAACCGCGGCTTGCCTAATTTCGGCTTCGAATCGAGCGAATAAACCGAAGGAACGCGGTTGCAGAGATCTGCTGATCCCGTTTCATCGCCTCGACGATTGCTTTACGGTCATCTTGCGTCTATACAGTGCTTCAAAAATACGCTTGTTATTTTTTTCTCATAAAATATTATTTGATCATCGTGTTATTACGTATTAAGATATTTCGCCAAAGTTGGATTATTTCTATATATTTTCGTAGATTCGATAATTTAACGCCTAAACAATTCTTTCTTCGGAGATAAAATTGCGCCAAAGTTTGGTCATCCTGTACCCGACTCGAATTGGTTAAACCCATTCGATTCTATACAGAATTTTTCGGACCGGAAAAATTCGCTCTGAAACGAAGTCGTTCGGATTTCGCGACGTTTCGAATTTTTGCATAGGAGATACGATTAGAAACGAAGGGAACGGGGAAGCGAACCATTTTCCATCCGCGACCAAGCCCGAAGCGCCACGTCTCGAAAACACAGTTTAAGTTTAATCGGTAATCAAGCCGGCCGATTCAGATATTAGCTTACGAGAGTTAATTTAGCCCCGAGTGGCTGGCAATTTACCGGAGGCTAATGAAAATAAAGAGGTCGTTGGACCCACTCGGAAACGCAATGTCCCGGAGTAACGGGCGACCCGGAGTCACGTTCCTACGCCGAGACGAAGACGACGAATATAAAGGGCACTCGGCTGGATTACCCTTTAATAACTCGTTGGCGGCCATTATTCTCGTTCTCGTCGGAGCGTTCTCGCGGCTCAACCGTGGTTCAACGGAACCAGAAATCTTATACCGGAAACTTTCACCTTAATCCCTCCCCTCCCTTTCCGCTCTTGCACAAACTTTTCCGCCGTGTTTTCTAAACCCGCGGCGGCGACTCGCACGCGATCCATCATCCACGTACACGCGTCACAACGTATAATTGCCGTGAAGAAAAAAACTTCTTTTCCCGATTGAAAGAAAGATGGACGAAAAGAATAAACCTCGTACAAACGTTTTTTCCCTCGATAAATTGCGGATAAATTGCGGCGGTTTACGTAAATCCGTTTTTCGCGGCACGGCTCGTTTCGCCGCGACGCCGCGTCGTAATCCGCGTCTCAGACCTTGAAAATACGATCCTCG